AGATACTGCAGAACTATTGTCCAGATTTAATCATTTGTTTTCAAAGATAACATGAGCATGGGATGTGAACATGCACATGAAAACATAAAAATGCAATGATTACAAAACATTTTCTTAAAAAAATCCCTTTGCATCTGCTGTCCAGGTCCTGACCTCTTCTCTGTAGGCCACAAGTTAGGTAAGCAATCACATTGTTCCTCCATTATTATTCTGAAACGCATAGTTGAGGGTTTTTATGATGCCTCTATAAATATTTTCCTTCCTTCTAAACTGGTGAGTAGATAGACAGTGGTTTATGTAAGCATTCCTGGTATTCGTAGACTTTTGTTATTCCTCAAATGATGCAACAAAGACCTCTGGAAAGGCTTCATGTGTACATTTCAGTCTCCTAAAGAGAGACATTTCTATCTCTTAAAGGCGAAATCAGTGGGTCTCAGATATACATATGTGTGATACTGACTCTGACAAATTGCTTTCTTAAAAGAATGAGTCAATCAATACTCCTGCCAGAAATGCATGAAAGTTTCTTTACATCATTGTTCCTACTCAGTATTATCAATTTTATTAATCTGATTAGTGAGTTTTTCAGTGTCATTTTAATTTGTGTTTCCTTGATTCACAAAGAGAATGCACATCTTTTAAATAATGTGATTGGCCATTTTTATGTTATCTTTGGTAAATAGCTATTTGTATTTCTGGACTACTCCCTGTCATCCATTGGATTATATTTTCCTTATTGATTTTGAGTAGCTCTTTCTTTTAAAAATAAATTTTAAGAAAAGTTAACAGTCCTTTGGATTTTATATATGTAATAAAAATATGCTTCCATATTTGTTGCTTATGTCAAATTCCCACATGGTATGCGTGTGTCACATTGTTTGATTTACTCTTGTTTTGTGTAGTCAAATCGATTTGCTTTATGTCTCCTGAATTTTGTTCTTGTTTAATGTTCTCATATTTTTTCTAAAGTTGTTGGTCTACAAATCATTGATGGTCCTTGATTAATAATTGTTTAATTAGTTTTTCAACTTTTCGATGGGGTGAGAGTGATACACATTTAGTAGAGGTCATACTTGTAACTCTGAGCAGCAGCAGCAAGCCTCAGCTCCCAGTCAGCCTCAAGATCTTGAAAGGAAGAAACCTAATATTCTACAGTGTGCTGTGTTACTGAGCTATAGTGTAGTTAACACATGTTCAGTTTAGCAATAGCTTCGGTTTAAAGTGAGTCTATCAGGAGGTGAAATCATGAGTCCAGTGACATCTGTACTGGAGGTAATGTCTGTTGCTTCAGCTAGCATGTTAAATCTAGATTCTTCAGTCAAGGAGCTCATACACAAAACTGACCTGATTAAACATTATGCTTGCATTCCTGGGGCCAGCCATATCATTATTTGTCCTCAAATTTCCCCTGCCTGCTTTGTTTGAGTATGGACGATTGAACATTCCCAGCCCTTTTTATTTTTTTGTTTTGAGACAGGATCTCACTGAGTTGCTAAGTTGCCTGGGATGGGCTCAAACTTGCAATCTTTTTGCTTCAGCCTCCCAAAGTGCTAGAAATACAGGTGTGAGCCACCATGCTCAGCTTCCCCTCCACTGATTTCTGCTGTTATAAGTTACAATATTTTAAATACTTTTTTTCTCTTCGGTGGTGTGGGAAAAGAGAAGGGAAAGAAGGAGAAATTTTGTATGTATATATATACAGGATAGATAACATGGTTGTTCTTCTATCTGCTGTTTCTATGCTGAAAGAAACTGTCAATGAGTCTTTGGTTGACCAGTATTGCATGTCTATATCTGTTTTCATGAGAAGCCACTTTGAAGATATCAATATGTAATACAACCACCATTGTTAATTCCCTACCACTTTGTTTGTAACTCTGTATTGTCTGTATTGTGCTTGTGATATGTTGTAAAATGTTGTATGTCTGTTAATGTTTCCCTCCTTTTATCCTTAAAATTAAAAAAAAAAATAAATAAATACTTTTTTTCTTTTTTCTTTTTTTTTTTTTTTTCGAGACGTGGTCTTGCTATGTAGCCCAGGCTAGCCTCAAACTTGTGGCAGTCTTCTTGCCCCAACCTCTTGAGTGTTGGGATTACAGGGGTAAACCACCATGCCTAGCAGGTTAAAATTCTTTTCGTATGTCAATGGTATCTTCCCTAGTCGGACTTTCGATTTCTCCCCCTTGACACAGATGCAGGTATCCCCTCCAAACACCTGGGGCAGCACTGAGTAAGGTGTCTGAGTGAGAGGTCTTGCAGAGTCCGGGCACCCTCTCTCCAGGTGGATGAGATCACTAAAAGTGTTTAAGCCAACAAGATTTTTTTGAAAAAGAAAAAGAAAGAGGATTAGGAAAAGAAAAAGAAAGAAAGAAAGAAAGAAAGAAAAAACAAAAAGAAAAAGGGCTGCATCTTTTGGCAAAGGAGGCTCAGGGCATGTGGAGGTTCAAGATTTCCACATTCATCTGAATTCATCCAATGCCCCCATTCCAATTCTCAGGAGTCCTATCCTCTCTATCCACTTAAAAGACTCAATAATTTGCCCAGGCTGTGAATTCAACCTGTGATGTGATTCTATAACCTATTGGGTCAAATTTAGAGTCAGCTTTTCAGCCTTGTCTCTATAAAATTCAGGAATTTCTTTTAGTACCAGGAATTTCTTTTACTACCATCTTTTAGTACCCCTTTTCTCTGACAATTCTTAACTTGATAGTTTAAAGTCTTAAAATTTTCTTTTTATAAATTATCCAGTGGCATCAATAGTTATCTTACCTCAGTTTTTATTGTCATACTTCCCACAATGGTGATCAAATTTGACATCACTTGGCCTCCTAACATCTGCTTCTGTTTATATGTTTCATTACAGGTAATCACAGATAATAACTTATGCTCTGCCTGTGATAGATGCCATCAGTGTTGTCACTTGTCCAGTGTTTCCTCCAATAAGGCCATCAGTATGTTCAGTTCCAAACACATCATTAACCAGGTTCCCATATTCAGGTATCTATTTCCTGGGACCACCATGGTACCAAGTAGAGCAGTGATTAGTAATTAATCATCAGAAGAGTAATCAGTTGGTATTTCAAGTAGAGAGATAATATGGACACTTGTTTACAAAATAATGGTTTGAGAAGAAGGGAGAAAAGTGTGCTAGAGAGCAAAAAGAGTTTTGTACAAATCGTAGGGAGTAGCAGCTGCTCCTGGCTGAAGCCCAAGGACCTGTTTAGATCGTGAAGATGGTGAGGGCACTTTTACTGCCACTGGTGCTGGTGCTAAAACTGCACCACTGTCACTGAGCAGGAATGGAGACTACTATCCCACTGGCTCTGGCAACCAACAATGATCACAGCAGATGCTGTTTCTTTCATGGTGCAAAGAAAATGGTGCTATGCCTTGGTAGAGCCTTGAAGAAAGCCAAGTGGTAAAGGGCCTGGGAATGTAGTTTATAGATTACAACACCCAATTTTACAAGAAAGGATACAGAGACAGGTGTGCACCCTTGCTATGCTTCGAATGGGTCCCCACTCTTTCACATGTGAGAAGCTTGTTTGCCAGTGTGGTGGTGTGAAGGGGAAGTGGAATCTAGTAAGAAATAATTAGGACATTGGGATTTCTGCCCTCAGAAGGAATTAGTGTAGTTCTCTTGAGACCATTGTTAGCTCTAATGGGTGCATTGCTATAAAAGAGAAAGTGTTGAGGGTTATTCTACATAATTTTGGGGGAAAATTATTTCATAATTAAATTGTGATTAGGACTTGTGTGAGGCCTAGTATCTTGCCATGTGAGGCAGTTATGGTGTTTGGAAACATAACTCCATGTTCCTCCAGTCACAGTTGAGACTTCAATGGTCCCTTGATGTGTGATGCTTCAGGGCAAGATTATATCAGATGAAGAAATCCTGGTTCCTTGAAAATCAAGTGCTAATAAAAAAAATCTTGGGAATGGAGAAACTCCTTATTAATTTACCATCTCTCTCCATGGTCCATATCAACATAAAGATCCTAATTAACATGATTGCCCCACTCTCAAAGTCATCCAAAGTGATTCTCATCAAAGTATAAAGAGGCAATAGCCATCCTCAGAAAGAGGGAAAGGAAAGTTCAGTCCAGTCGCTGCATAAGCAACCTGGAGATCTGGTAGGCCAAACCAGAGTGGAAGACTGGTGGGTCCAGATGAGCTTCCAGGGGAAAAGAAAAGAACAGGAACCAGTGTGTGATGTGCTTGAACACAGTGAGGGCACATTTATTGTTCTGTCAGAGTGTGTCCTATACTCACAATAACAGCAGCAGCATCATTCATAAGAATGTGTGGAGGAATGTGTGATGACTACATAGAAAGTGAGGCAATAAGATTCTGGAAAAGAAAAATGTTATGAAAGACATGCAGCATAATCATAAGAATACTATGTGGATCAAGTGTTATGAACAGTTACATGCTATGATGATGCCAACATTGATTATTTGATTTCAGATAAAACAAAGTTAAAGGGAAGAGAGAAGCTGTGCTTTGGGATTGGTAGAGCTAAACCTTCATCTTTTGTATTAAAAATCATTAAGAAACTAAAGAAACTAAAGAAAATTTTCTTTTTATTACAGGTGTTATAGTTTTCAGCCTTTAGAGCTATATTTACTATATTACTTTGGTAAAATATTAAAATACTTTTTAAAGTCCAAAATTTAAAAACTATTACTTGACTGAAAAATTATCATCTATGATTTATTAATGCTAATAGTGTTGTTTATTTAACTTTCTTCAAGATCTTTTATAAAAAGCACACATTTGTAGTTACCCATGCAAATATAGAAAGCCTTTGTGATTCCTCAAGTAGTGCCCTAATTCTTTTATTTGACATTCCCTTCAAGTCTAACTCATATGATCAATGTATTTAAAATTTATTCAGCTATCACTAAGAGTCCCTTCAAAAGTCTTGATATATATTCTGGACAATATGATGTTGCTTTGGGTATTTTATTTCTTTAAAGAAATAGACTCTCTTCTCCTAATTGTATTGTTTTTTCAGATCTTTTTTATTTGTTTTCCCTCACCCACAGTTCCCTTATATATTCTGGTTTGATGTCATGTGGGAAAGGAACCAAATGAAGAAATACAAAGGTGAGAAGAAATTCAAGCAAACCAATGGCCTGGGAGTTCTGAGGACAGAGCGAGCTGGAAGATCGTGGCAGGATCCAGTCTGTAGGGGGACTTTTACAGAGCAATAAACTCCACTGGCTATAGCTCTAAGTTGACGAAGTTCAAGGGTAAGTATGGGTGAATTGCATGGGCTTTGTGATAAGTGAGGAAATCTCTGCTTCTGGTTTTGGCAGCATCAAAGCAAGACCACAGTAGGAGCCATGGTCTTTCTTCTTAGTTTAGTGGATTGTCTGGTTTCTTTACTTGGAGGTAAATCATATTTTCCTTATATTTTCTTGGTCTGCTATAAGAAATGAAATTGAAGAGGAGAGAAAGAAATTATAAGGAAGTTAAATAAAATAAAATTGGTATAAATTAAACAAATCACAATGATAAAATTTGCCCAGGATTAGTTTTGAAAATATATTCTGAGTGGTTATTTTCTTAAAGAAAATGGACAGAACTTGGTATAATAGAATGGGATGTACCTAAAATCCTTCTTGAGAAGTAGAACTGACATAACAAATCTCTCTTCTTAGGTTATTTCACTATCTTTTGCAGCATAGAATATAGGTAAAGATTAAATTCAACTTTACATCAGTTAGATGATGGTTGCAGAAATCCAGGCAGTGTTATCAGTTTTCAAGTAAAATTTGTGAAGTTACTTTTTAACCAATATTCATTTACTTTTCAATAGTTTGATGAGTGAGAATGCAGTTAAAATTTCTCTCAAATTGCAAGTTTTCCAACCATTTTATCTCTATAAGTTTCAAGACTTGCTAATATTCATTGGAAAAATGCTGTCTTCTTCAGTATGTTGTTCCCATCCATGTTCTCTGTATATGTTTCTGTTAATAGTAATACTGAATCAGGTGTGGGCTGTCCTAGGCCCCAGATCCCTATAGAGTTCTCTCACCTGGACAGGGTCAATCCTGCTTCAGTTTTTAGAACAGTCCAATCTGAGATGAAGTTAGCAGAAACCCACCAAGTCATCAAGAAACATTTGAGCCCTCTCAGACTTCAAGTGGAGGAGCAATCAAGTCTGGGCTTTCATAGTTCCTATACTCACAATAACAGCAGCAGCATCATTCATAAGAATAGCAGCAGCCGCAGGAGCAACAATAGAAGCACCAAAAGCAGCAGCAACATCAGAAACAACAGCAGCATAATAAGCAATTGTAGTAGCAACATCAGCAGCACCCTCAACAGCATCAACAATAACAGTAACCTCAAAAGCACCAGCAATGGCAGCTACACCAGCAGCAACAGAATCATTGACAGCAGCAGTAACAGAACTACCAGTAACAGCACCCCCAACAGCAACAATAGCAACAGTGACAGCAAGAACAATAGTAGCATTACCAATGGTATTATGATCAGCATCATTAGCAGCAGCAGGAAAAGTAGCAGCAACAATGGTGTCAGCAGCAAAAGCAGCAACAACAACAGCAGCAACAGTAGGGAGAACACTAGCAACAATGGTAGCAGCAGCAATGATAGCAGCAGCAATGATAACAGCAGCAACAGCAGTAATGCTAGCATTATAATCAGCAAAATTAGTATCAAGAACAACAGTAGCATAGGCAATAGCTGTAACAACAACATCATCAACAAAAACAAAATCAACAGCATCAACAGCACCACCAACAGTTGCACCAATGGCATAACCAACAATGGTAGCAGCAACAATAGCAGTATCACCAGGATCACCACCACTATGAGTGACAGCAATATTTTTAGCAAAAATAGCAGCAACAATATTATCAACAATAGCAGTAACAACAGTAGGAGTAACAGCACCACCTCCACCACAAGTATCAGCAGCTGCAACAAAAACAGTAGCAATACTACCAACAGTAGCACCACCAGCAGCATCAGCAGGGTTACTAACAGCAACAATAGCAGCAGTAGCATTAGCATCACAATGAGCAACAATAGCAAAAGTAACAACAGCAGAAACAACAGCAGTATTAACAACAATGGCAGAAATAGAAGCAACAGCAACAGCACCACCACCAAGAGTACCAATGGCACTACTAACAGTGTGTGTAACAATAACACCACCACCATCAGCAGCAGCATTAAAAATAGCAACAACAACAGTACCATTCACAATGACAGCAAAGGCAACAACAGCAACACCACCAATAGTAGAAGTAACAGCAGTAGCAATACCACCACCACCAACAATAACAGGGGCAATAGCAACACCAGCAACAGCAATAGCAATATTATTACCATCATCAGGAACAAAAATGGTAGCATCAACAATAGCAGTAATAACAACTGTAGTAGCATCACTACCAGCAGCAGCAGCAGCAACAGTGAAAGCACCACCAATAGCAGCAATCACAGCAACCCTAGCATTATAATCAGCAACATGAGCAGCAGCAAAAACAGTAGTACCAAGAATAACAGCAACAACAGCAGCACCATCATCACCACCAACATCAGGAATAACAGCAGCATTGACAATAGCAGTAACAGTAGTAGAAACTACAATAACATCATCAGCAACAACAGTTGCATCAATGTCAATTGTTGCACTAATGACATCAACAGTAACAGCAACAACAATACCACCAGCAGCAACATCAAGAATACCAGTAACAATACCACCACTAGCAGCATCAAGAATAGCAGCAATAATAGCATGAACAGCTTCGGCAGTGGTGGTAGTGGTATTGATGGTGGCAGTGATGGTAGCAATAACAGCAATAACAGCCACAGCAGCAGCAACAACACCACCAACTGCAACAACAGCACCTCCAACAACAGCAGGAACAACAGTATGACCACCACCATTAGCAGCAATAGTAGCACCAACAAAAACAAAATTATCAGCAACATCAGCAGCAATAACAGCAGCAACATTATTACCACCATCTGAAACAACAATAGCAGCAACAACAGCTGCAGCAGCACTGCCAACAACAGCAGCAGGAATAGGAGCACCAACAGCAGCAGCAACAACAGTAGCAGTGATAGTGGCAACAACAGTAGAATCAATAGCAGCAATAGCACCACCAACTGCTATAGCAGAATCTTTAACAGTAACAGCACCACCACCAGCATCACCACCACCAATAGCAGCAGCAATAATAGCAACACCTACAGAACCAACAAAGTAAAATCATCCTCAATATTAGTAGTAGCAACAGCAACAAAATTATGACCACTAACAGTAGCAGCAACAATAACAACAACAGCAGCAGCAACATTGCTACCAAAAGCATCAGGAATAGACTCAGCAGCAACAGCAACAGCAGCAGCAACAGCATCTATAGCAACAACAACAACAACAACAACAACAACAACATTAATACCAGCAGCAACATTAATAGCAGCAATACTAGTACCAACAATAGTAGCAACAATAGCAACACTATTATCACCACCACCACCAGGAAAAATAGCACCGACAATAGCAGTAACAGTAGTAGCAGCAGCAACAACAGCAGCAGCGACAGTGCTACTAAGAGTAACACCAATGATAGCATCAGTCGCAGCAGTAACACCACCAGCAGTACCACCAGCAACATCAAGAATAGCAACAAGAGTAGTATCACAACAGCAGCAAGTGCAGTTACAGCAACAGCAGTAATGCCAGGAACAGCAGCAACATTACCATCAACAGCAGCAGCTACAGCAGTGACAACAGTAAAATCAACAATAGCATTAACATGAACAATGGGAACAATATCAGTAGCACCACCACCAGTAGCAACAGTGGTAGAATCAACAATAGTAACAACAGCAGAGGCACAACTATCACCACCAGCAAGAGCAACAATAACAATATCAACAATAATAGTAGTAGCAGCAGTATCAATAACAATAGCATCAACAGCAGCAGCAGTACCAATGGCAACAATAACAATAGCGGCAACAATAACAATAGCAGCAACAACAACCACAGCTGTAGCAACAGCAGCAGCAACAATGGTAGCAACTACATCAACAATAGTCTCAATAGCAGCAGCAATATTAGCAACATCAACAATAGTAGTAATAAGGGCAGTATCAATAATAGCAGCAACAGCAGCAGCCACAACAACAGCATTAACAACAGCAGCAGCAGCAACAGCACCATCAACAGCCAGGTCATCATCAACACCAGAAGCAGTAACAACACCACCAATAATAGCAGCGTTACCAAAAGAAACAGCAGCAACAATAGCAAAACCACCAGCAGAATCAACAATGGCAGCAATTGTAGCAGCAGCAGCAGCAACAGCAACAGCATGGGCAATAGTAGCACCAACCATAGCAACTATAACAGCAGCATCAATAATAGCCATAACAGCAGCAACAACAGCAGCAACAGCATCAGCAACAACAGCAACTACAGAACCACCAACAATATACAAAACAGCAGCATCAACAATAACAGCAGAGCAACAGTAAATAGCATCATCAACAATAGCAGCAGCTCTCAGTACCAACTGTGGTTTGATTTTTGCAGGCTCTCTACAGGTGGACCCTCCCACAGCTGTCTTGACCCACACTCTAGCCAAACTCTTCCTGCAGTCCCCAGACCTCTTACAGAGTTGTCTCAGTGACCAGCAAACTTGGTTATACTACACAGAAAAAGCAACGTGCAAATCTTTACAGGCATATTATTTGCAGATAACTAGTAAGCACACAGCATAACAGCAGCTGTAATTCCTGGGAATGTCTCTTAAGCTTGCTTTGAGCCTGCCTGGTGGGAACTAAGAACTCTGACACATGTAAGTGTGTGTATACATGTCACTGAGCTGCACCATTTGTCTCAAAACAGCTCCCCTAAAATTCAATTTCTAATGAATAGTCTCAGTAGATGTTTTGTTATTTTATAGAAGAGCTATCAAAGCCTTGCTGAAGAGTAACAATGGCTCCTGGACATTTATTAAGTACCAAGCACTTTACATGTATTGTCTCTTTTAATGGTTATGAAAATCCAAGGAGTGGTACTATTGTCCCCATTTACAGTGCACATGAAGAGACTGGGACAGACCTCATAGATGGAGTATGTGAATATGGTTAGTTAGGCTCTATGGCTGTGATCTTTTCTGCCTCTTGGGACTGCCTGCCTTCCATCAGAGCTGCTGGGGAAAGCCTGGAATGCTTTTAATTCTCAATGATGAGGAAGTCTGCAGCATTCATTCTACAGCTACCTGGAGAGATTCTGTTCTGTCTGTGACATGACATACACAGGACAGAATCTCTGTCCTCAGAACAAGGTGTTTTTGTGCACAGGAAGGTATGCTGAGATAGGGGAGAGGGAAGCTAGTCTAGATTAAGGGTTTCAAATTCAGATGTCCTTATAACCAGGCAGTTATATAAGTGTACATGACCCAAGACAACAGGGGATAGTGGGGGCTGTGGCTTACTGTGGAGGACCTGCTCTCCAATAAGCAGAGCCACTGCTCAGCTCCCACAGATTTTCTGTAAGAGGAAATGCCTCCTCAGTGTTCCCAAATTTGATTTCTAAAAAATCCTGGAAGACCCCTGTATGTGGAATTTCCCACTTTAAAAAATATCATGTTGGCCAAGCAAAGCATTTGAGAATGTGGTGTCCAACGGTGCCCACACTGTGAGTTTCCAGTGTGTGACCTCAGGCCGAGTCAAAAGGCCTCTTTTAATTCTAAGATAAGTTCTAGGAAAAGCCTCAGACCACTGCAATTCAGCAACATTTTGCCCAAGTACACAATGTGTTAAATGTGAAAGGTTTGTAGAATGCATAAAATTCAGTGTAGTTCATGGCACCCGTGGATCTAAAATGGAGATGACAAAATTTAAAAGAACAAAGATTTAAGTAGATCATATAAACAAACTTATTTAGATTTTTTTTAGCTCACTTTTAAAAAAAAGGTTCATGTGTTTTAAAATTTAGAAAGAACAAAAATATGTGTCTAGAAAAGTCTTCCACTTATCTAAATCCTATAGTCACCAAATTCCAGACAGCCAATGTTATGGTTCTTGTGCATTCTTCAGAAAAACACACACACACACACACACACACACACACACACACACACACACACACACACACGTAGTTCCCTTGAACCTTGGAAGATATGTTCCAAGACCCTCAGTGGATGCCTGAGAATATTGCATCCCATAAATGCATGCTATGATCTCATACACACATGCCTATGATAAAGCTTAATTTATAAGTTAGGTGCGGTAAGAGATGCATTATTGTTGATCCTCTTTACAACTGTAACATAAATTTTTTTCTTTCCTTATTATATTGAGAGCTTTTATCTTTTCACTTTAAAGAAAAACTTCACAAATTCTCTTCGGCATGTCTCAATGGCCAGCACTACTACTCTTGTACTTTGTGATCATTTTAAAGTAAAATAAAGGTTACCTGAATAAAAGTATGATGAGACCTTGACAATCCATCAGATAATTGAGTGTACATTTTATTTAGTGCTGGGGATTGAACCTAGGGCCTCATGCTAGCTACTCAAGTGCTCTACCCCCGAGCTACACCCTCAACCCTCCATCTAATAACTGAGATGTTTATTGAGTTACTAATGGGAGGGTAGACTATGCACCTAGATTACTCTAAGGAGTGATTAATATAATGGAGCACTATTTCATCATGAGAGGTGTGACACAAGATTTTATTGTGTTACTCAGAACAGTGTGCAATATGAAATTAAGGAATTATTTACTTCTGCAATTTTCTATTTAATATTTTCAAACTGCAATAAATAGGGGAATGATGGGTAGTTGAAAGGAAAAAGCAAAGCTATTGTAAGGGGGAGTTACTGTATATTTTTATCTAATCATAGTTTTATATTTTAACCATTTTATTTTTAATCATTATTTTTATGTTTATGTATTTCCCATATATTTACAAGTGGTAGAATACACACTTTTCTATGTTTTGCCTTTTTCCCACTAATAATACCTCTTGGAGAGCTTTCCTTATTAGTGTACATAAGCTGCCTCATTTTTCAAAATGGTTGTATAGCATTTCATTGAATGGTGTATCATATTTAACTGCTCTTCCAATTGATAGACACTTGGGTTGTTCCCAATCTTTTGTTACCTAATAGTCTTTGATGACCAATTCTATACACCTGTATTTTGCACATGTAAATTCCTAGAAGTGTAAAATTGGTAGGTAAAAGATATGCACATTTGTTATAGTGATCCTATCATCACATTGACCATTGCGGGTGTATCAAGTTTGTTTTTCTACTCTCAGTATAGGGGATTGGTGGTTTCCCATTCTCTCTCAATATGATTATGTGCCAGGTACTTTGTTTTTTTGGCAATAAAGTAAATATTAGTACCATATTAATTTGCACTTCTTTGATTATGGGAGATGTTGGACATATTTTCTTACATTTAAAAGTTGTTTTATTTCCTTTTCACTGAATTAGCTGCTGAAGTACTTTGCCTACCTTTTCTTTTTTGTGACTGCCCTTATGGATTTGTTAGGATTTTTTGTATGTTCAGGAGATTAACCCTTTATAGAGTTATAAAATACCTTCTGTAAGTTTATCACTACTTTTAACTTATGCTAGCTTTTCAATGCAGAATTAAACAAAAATTGTAAATGCAAATATTGATTTTTTTTGGTCTTTTTGAGACAGGGTCTTACTATGCAGTTCAGCCTGGTTTTGAACTCACTTTGTAGCCCAGGCTGGCCTCAAACTCACAATGATCCTCCTGCCTCAGCCTCCCAAGTGCTGGGATTACAGATGTGAACCACCACACCTGGCTGATCCTTCTTTTATGAGTCTGAATTTTTTTGACATATAAAGACCTTTCTTGCTATGAAGGTATAAAGGAGTCCTCCTGTAGTGTCTTCATTGTTTCACTGTTTCTTTTCTTCAATTTTTCCTTCGATTAGCTTGAATTTATTTCATTATATGATACAAGATATGGATTCAGTCTCATCTTTCTCTCCAACTGGATACAGAATTGTCCCAAAACATTTATGGAGTAGTTCATTTAGGAATCTCAACTCCATACCTCTGCATGGCTTCAGCTTCCTCAATGGTCTCAGGCAGAGCCTTCCCTTTGGTCTCTGGGAGCAATAACACCAGTCCTCCGGCTACCAAGCCAAAAATGGCTGCAAAGACAAATGGCTGCAAATCACATTTAGAAAGGCAGACTCTATAATCAGAGCTCCCATCCCCAGCCTGTATTTTTCTATACTTATTTATAGACTCCTTGGCCATCTCTGACTGCCCTATTTTCCATCACAAATATTATGCCAATTCCAAACTCCATTGGATTATAATTCCTTTTAGGGAAATGAAATACTTAACATTTTGAGTCAAGATTATTCTAGGTGAGAGGACATTATCACACTATTAAGATACTTTGGAGTTAAAAAAGAAACTGAAAAAAACCTAACTGTATAAAAAGGTAGAACATAATCATGCCAATGTAAAGCACTTGGTAAAGAAAATACATCAGAAAACTTGGACCTTTACTAGCCAATTAAAGTAACACAAGTATTACTCCATAATCACATTAAAAACTATTGTGAGGCCATTTAGTTCAAATATAAGTGCTTGCCAAATTCCTGTTGCTCCTATTTCTTTGTAGTTATAATCTTTAATAACTGTTGATAATTTTATTTCTTTAAATTCTGATAAATGCTTTGGTCTTTCAAAATTGTATGGTTATATATTGTTTCCCTAATGGAACACAAGAAGTGGGACTTGCATGGTGGACTCCATCTGTGCCCTCAAGAAATGGTGGCAAGAAATAGATGCCAGAAACCCCAGCACTGAGCACCTGGGTCCAACTCTGGCTCCTTCCCTGGTTGGAGAGCCTTGGGAGGTCTGGCAGTAGCCTTGCCCCTCTGGTTCCCTTTTGTCACATGGAACAATACTCTACCTCACAAGTTTGTTAGGAGGCTGAAATGAGTATTTGTCAAGCACTTAAGATAATGCCTGGCTCATGGTATGAGCTATGGGCATGGCTACTAAACCATGTGTTGTTGTAGCTCAAAGATTCACTTGGTGATTGTATAATGATAAACTGTATTGTACTGTAATGAAGCTCTGAAATGAGTAAACTTTGATGAACAGATTCATCAAATTATCATGCACTTAACACTTTACATTTAGAAAAATAAGCCTAACTACCCAGGATAACCACTAACCAAGTTTCCAGTGCTCTTTGAAGCAGGATTTTCTGATGTGTTGATTTTCAGGCTTCTTAGATACCTCTCTTTTGTTTTATTTATTTGTTTACTTTTGAGACAGGATCTCACTTTGTAATCCAGATTGCTCTTGAATTTACTATGTAGCTCAGGCTGGTCTCAAATTTATGGCAATTCTCCTGCTTCAGTCTCATGTGTGCTGGGATTGTAGGTGTATGTTACTACACCCAGCTCCTGTAACTATTTCAAGTTCAGAGTTCACTGGTCTGAGGACCATAGGAAGACCTTCAATTGACTTGTCTGTTTGATTCCCTTCTGCCACGTGGGACAATATACTCATACCTTGCAAGTCTGTTAGGAGTATTGCCCAGGAAAAGAAAGAGAAAGAAATTCAAAATCCCCATGACATCACCACAAGGCCTCTTCAGCAGTGGTTGGGCCTACAGGCAGACCTTATCATTAGCATCGCTGTGCTCCCCAGGCAGAGCTCTCTGACATTTTGACAGAAGGCAAATTTGGTCTCTGAAGCAGAAGTCAAAGCAACACAAACAAAGCCCCTAGACAGCCCTGTGGCCTTGGGCTGGGTGAAACCTCCAGTGTCAGGCATGTAGCATTAAGACTTGTGCATAATTATTTTGCTGGTACTATTCTTTTCCAACTAGACAAACCCACAACTTAAACAAAGATTTTTTTTCCTAAGAATTATCAGGTTGAATTTTAAAGATGTAATCTCAGTTCATTTACACTGGTTACCAATGATGGTTGATAGTAACCAGCACTTATTAAACACCTGCTATTTGCCATGAGGCCATATAATTTAAAAAAAAAAAAAGAAATTCAAATGCAAAACTACTAGTTATGCTTCCTATTAGCTCCCAGAGTGAAACTGGTGAGGGAAGATGATAAAACTACTTTCAAAAATAAAGTTGGGATTGTCTCTAGGTTAATGTTGGCAGTTGAAATGCTGCTATAATCTCTTATCTTCTCCAGAGGAAGGTAAGGCACAAGCACGGCTCAACAGTGGTTCCTTGGTGTCTGGACTTGGCATTGCCCTGTTAAATGGTGGCTATGGAAACATGAGGTAGCTACTTGCTATCCAGAAATATCCTGCTGAACCCTCAGTCACCTGGTCTCCTCAAGGGCAAAGCCGAAGTTGAGAGGTCCCTAACTTTCTCCCAGAAGGCAGGAGTTTAGAGCTGTGCTGGGCACTTCCTTAAGAGGAAAAGATTTGTGACAGGTCTGGTGTTGGGGGAGGGTAGATTTTGGGGCACAAGTCCCCATCAGCAGTGCCAGCAACACTGGGAACAAACCAAGGCTACCTCAGGATAATGAGTTTGTGTTCCATTTGATCACCTGTTAGGGTGGGATGTAGAGGAATTCATTGGGACTGTTTGGAACTTTTGCTGATGAATCCACAACAGTGGAAAATTTCCCTGTCACAAACCCCTTGAGGAGAAGGGAGAGGGAAAGAATGAACTGAGCTGGGTGTGGGGACAACATGCGGCAGGAGGGCAGAAGTGAGTGCTTCCAGTGTGCATCTGCAGTGCAGATTCTTGCATCCTGTCCTCTTCAGTGAGGTCAGTGGTGCTCACCCATGGGAAAAGTGGCGCGTATTCAAATGGAAAGTGGCCAGGGGACTCAAATGGGAATACGTGTGCATGAATCTGAGCCGACAGTCACACCTTAGGTCTCCAGGACACCCAGCAGAACACCTGTCCCAGTGGGTAAAGGTAAGGGATAGTGAAAGAATGAGGGAGGAGCCCAGGATCCACAGTATCCAGTACAGGGAAGAGACAGTCGTGCTGCCTTCTACCCTGCAGGTGGTGAGGGATGAAGCAGACTTCAGTGCCTTTCCATTGCATCTTGTCCCTGATGCTACTAGCAGTGGCAGAAGGAGAAATGCTGCACCACTCTCCTGGAATCCAAATACCCTGAATAACTGGGGCTGGGGGCACTGCTACACAGGTGCTCCATTACATGGATGCATTTTTCCTTTTATTGCATTCTTTGGTTGGGGGTACTGGGTGTAGAATCAGGACCTTTACACTGAGCTATATCCCCGGACTCTTTTGTTTTGAGACAGGGTCTTTTTTAAGTCAATAAGTTGTCTAGGCTGGGCTTGAGCTTGCAAACTTCCTTCCTCAGCCTCTCAGAGTGCTAGGATTACAGGCAAGTGCCACTGTGCCTGGCTTGATGCATTTTCTTAGTTGTGAATTTTATTTCCTCTGGATTCTGAAATGGAGTTTTGCAAAAATCTAACCACCTTTCTTTGGAGTAATGAAGTAAAAATGTTGTGTATTTTAGTGCCTTTGGGTTGGAGATGGGTCAGGTTAGCTCCTTCACAGAGGCGTGGAGATCTGGAAAGAGGGCACTGAAGAGAAACATTCTTCTGACTCATTGTTCCTAAACTCTGTCCTTGTAAAGTGGGAGTCCACTCTTGGGTATTAATAGTAACTGGTAGTATTAGAAATACTAGTGTTACTAAGTAGCACTATCAGTAATATTACTACTAGTAATTAGTAGTTACCAATGAGCATATCTATTTTGAGGCAGAGAAATGGAGGTTTCAGAAAAATAGGCTTCTGTCCAGAGGCCACTGAGGGGGTTTCTCACCGAATACCACGAGTGGGAGCTCCTGCCAGATATCTGTGAGGCGGTAGACCAGGAAAGGCGTGAGGATGCCACCGATGTCACACACTGAGGAACAGACAAGCACGCCAAGATTCCTGAAATGTAGGAACCCAATTTAACTTTTGACTTACAGCAAGGCAACAGTTATCTCCCACCCCCCCAAAGAAATACTTCCCCAAGCTGGGCCAGGTGGTTTATGACTGTAACCCCTGCATTCTGGGAGGTTGAGGCAGGAAGATCAGAAATTCAAGCCCAGCTTGGGGAACTTAGTAAGACCCTATCTCAAAATAAAAAATAAAAAATAAAAAACAGGGCTGGGGATATAGCTCAGTGCAAAAGTCCTGGGTTCAATCCTGGTACTGAAAAATAAAGAGAGAAACAAACCCCAAAACCTTCCCCAAAATGTTGGAAAACTGAAAAACATTGCTCACATTATTTTCAATGAGTGACAGTGATGTATGCACAGAATTCCACAGAACTCCAAAATGAGTCTGTTGTTCTCATTTTATATAAACTTTCAGACTTGGAAGTGGAAAGTTATGCTTTTCTCTCCTATCGCCTGGCCTTTTGGTGACATTTCTAAGAACCCCCTTGTGCTGTATCCCTCTCTGTCTTGTGGAACTGTCTGGTGGTCCCTCTCCTACGATTCCATGTCCTCAGTTCTCATTAAGGTCTCTAAACTCCACCCCTCACTGAAAACATGAAGTGTGAGCTACTGGCCCCAGCTGCTGCCTCTGAGCATCATCCTCTTTTTTCTTATTGTGCTTGGAATTTGGGGTGCTGTTATGGCTCAGATGTAAAATGTCCCCCAAAGTCTCATATATGTGGAAGGCACTGATCACAGCATGATGAGTTCATAGCTGAATGTGCTATCAGGAGGAGGAGCCTGCTTGGAGGTAGTCACTGCGCTGTCACCTGGACAGGTGTAATTTTGTCCCTTTCTTCTCACTTCTCTCTCTACTTCCTGGCTGTCACAGGCTGAACACCTTTTCCTCCACCAAGCCTCTCTGCCATCCTCTGTCTGCCTTGGGGCCTGCCAACCATGGACTGAAACTGTGAGTTAAAACAGCCTTCTCCGACTTTACGTTTTGTGAGAGCATTTTGTCTCAACAACAGGAAAATAGCTAAGATGGGTGCCTCTGCCTGTACCACAGTGGTTCTAGCCCCACAAGAAGGGTTCCAACCACCCCTCATACTCACCTAATGAATGTGGGGTACAGTTCAGCATTGACTAGGCAAACCATTTCGAAAGCCATCGTGATTCCCATCCTACCTAAGCATGCAATGGTGACTTTAAGCCAGTGTAGATCTGAGGGAAAAAACACAGCACTTTTATAGATGGTGCCCGATCCCTCTTCTCCAAATAGTGCTCTGGAGTGGGCTTTGTGCGGAGAAACTCCGCATTCCAGGATGAGGCAGGGCAGCACAGCAGTACTGCTGCAGACTCAAGGTGATGGCAGCAACTCTTCTGTCTGTTTTGGCCTCACAAGGGTTGCTAATGTGTTGTCTTTTTTTTTTTTTTTAAATCATTTTCTGAAAAGTAGTTTTAAATTCCTAGCAAAATTAAGAGGAAAGTATGGTGATTTCGCATTTCCCTCCAGCCCTGACATGTATGCTCCCTCCCCACTATCAATACAGCTTTCACAGTGGCACATTTGTTACAATCATGATCGGGCAGTGACATACCATAGTCACCCAAAGTTCACAATTTATATTAGGAGTCATTTTTAGTAGTGACTGCTCTACAGTTTGGTCAAACATATGATGAAATATATCTACTACTATGGTATCCTACAGGATTTTGACTGCCTTCAAAATCCTCTGTTTTCCACCTGTTCAACTCCCCACCAATTCCTAGTGACCACTGATTTTTCTTTGCCTCCATAGTTTTGTTTGTAAGACTTTCTTATCTTTAAGTTTCAATTGTTAACTACACCAAATTATAACATTTTCCAAAGCTATGGCAACTTCATCGAGGTCACCCCGGAGAAACAGCAAAATATGGCCATACTTTCAGTAGTTGCTATTCAATGAAGTGTTTGGACAAAGCCCCACATGGCTAAAAGAATTCTCTTTCATGAACTTTTCCTCCCTGCCATTGAGAATTATTTCACACAGAAAGAATAACTGTTTACTGATGGCATGTAAGTTTTCCAATTTATTTTATACAGTGATGCACAGAAGTGAAGAAAATTTTCTGGAAGGTTCTACAATGAGACTTAAACCATGACCTGTTTTCCCAGAGTGCATGTTTTATGCTCTTGGCCAGCTCTGTGATCTTCACAGCTCCTCTTGTGCTGTTTATTGGGGCACAACTGGGTTTATTAATTGTTGAGGGCATGTTTGCTCAGGATAATCCTAGACATTACACTGTCTTTGCAAATCATCTGGGTGAGAAATTGGTCTCCCTATTAAAAGGTCTTGATATCCTCTCTGAAGATCTTAGGGATAAGATCCCAGCCTGGCTATAAACTTACCATCAGGGATAAAAACCGAAGCAAGACAGGCAGCCCCTGCCACCATATTTGACACAGCCCAAGGATAACGGCGACCAATGCGGTCAATGGTGAGGATGACAATGAAGGCGGCTGGGAATTCAACCAGGGCAGAATAGAAGAAATCCAGGTAGATATTGCTCCCTGCAAGGCCCATGTGCATGATAAGGCCCTGGTAGAGAACAGAGCTTGTGAACCTGAGCAGAGAGGAGAGAGCCAAGGTCAGGTTGAGCACTGAACACATACCACCCCCCAAAAAGAAGCTTCTTGAAGAACTGGAGTTGATGGTAGGTGACATTTCCCTGTGACCTCACAGCTGCCCCCTCCATCCCATCACTTTAACATAAGCTGGTCCACTTTAATGGCTGCTGTGACCTGGGACCCAGGCACAGGGAAACAAGTAGGACAGCATTTCCTGGCCAAACTGAAAGCCAAGAATGCCTTCACAGACTGATTTATGCGGTAAATCTATGTTAGGTTGTTAGTGACTGTGAAGTGTTCATAGTCCTCTAAAGCACTGGATCAAATGGATTCATACATAGCTCAAGTTTCAGGAAACAGAAAACCAAAGGGGAACCAATTTTTTCTTGATAATTTTTCTTCTGGTCTGACACAAACATTTTGACAACATCTCTAGTTTTGATGACCTAGAACCTAGGACAACATCTCATTATATATATATATATAAAGATGATCAGGAAGAGTCATAGTTATTTAGAAAAGGAAAGGAGAATGAGGTTAGACCTCAAGACTGCCTTTTTATACAGAAATTGTGGTAATTTTTGCCTTTGTTATTGAGAACAGTGCTTTGTGTGGCCTATGTGGGGCTCACCAAACTGACACTGTGTCTCTAGGAAGGGACACCTTGTGGTGAGTGGGTCTGGGCTCTGGGAGTGACCATGAGCAGCAAGTGTGGCCTGACAAACTTCAAGGTGCTGGACTGTGCAGCTACTGGGGTACTGTTGATCATCAGTCTACTTTTTATTTTGTACTCCAGGTATAAAATAAAAAGAAAAGTCCCATGTTTTGGTCAGCCCTGTGCTATTTATCATATTAATCCATGGATATTAATTGAGAATGAGTGGGGTTAATGGCAATGTATCTTTTATTCTAATAACTTTTTTAAAAAAGATAATCAAAACATATTGTGAGTCTAAAGAGAAGCTGAGGTCAAGAGCACTGTGATGTTCATGCAGTGACTGTGAGCTGTCTTCCATGTCTGTCTGCGAGAAACGTGAAGGAAACCTGCTATCCATGAGCAACCCATTCTGCCCTCTGTCATTGCTGAGCCTGGTAGCAGATTGTTTTGAGGTGTCCTTGTTCTGTCCCTTAATGTGGATGTCTGTGAATAAATAAATTTGGAGTGATTTTAAAGCAACAAACAAACAGACAAACAGTGGCTTACCAAATATACATCAAGATCAAAGTGTGTTTCCTTATCTGAGGGGTTCTGACCAAGTCAAGAAATGAAGGGTTCAACTTCTCTCCAGCTTCCTCATCTGCTCTCAGGCTCTGAGAAAAGACACAGTAAGAGTGGCTTTGTCTGTGGAATAGTGGTTCCAGGGTCCTGTGGGGTACAGCAAAACACTTCATACTCACCAAGCACCTGTCCTGTGCCCTGCCTAACACTAGGTTAGCCACATATTTTGTCTTATTTTGTTTTTACCCAAATCCCAGAAGTTAGAATCTGCTTTCCTCACCTCATTTTACAGAAGAGGAGCTTGAATGTGGAGAGTTTGGGTAACTCATGGCACATATCTAAAGTGGGGTGCATAGTGTGGTGTCATTGAGCTGCAGACATAGGACCTTGAGGGGGGAGTGTGAAGCAACTTGTCCCCCCACCCACTGCCAGATAGACCTTTTTGTGGCCCGGAAGGCAGGAGGTTTAGGCCTGGCACTTTGACTTCAGACCAGCATGGGCACTGCCCAGAGCTTGTTAGAAATATGGTGCACACCTGTAATCCCAGCACTTGGGAGGCTGAGGCAGGAGGATCACTGAGAGTTCAAGGTCATCGTGGGCTACAAAATGAGTTTAAGGCCAACCTGAACTGTATAGTAAAGCCCTGTCTGAAAAAGACAAAAAAAAAAAAAAAAAAAAAAAAAAAGAAAAGAAAAGAAAAGAAATAAAGTACGAAGAGAGATTGATTGGAATTTACATTTTCACAAAGTCCCCATATGACCTCGTGTACTAACAGCAAAATCTGAGGAATCTTGCTCTGGAAGTGTGCAGTCACTAGGTGGTGGAGTTGTAATTCTGCCACAGGTGGTAGTGTGCAAATTAATGTGATACAAGCAAAACTGTGGCAATAATCAGGTCATTAGCATAGCTGGAACTTCGGATCCTTTGGCAAAACAATGATTCACCTGTGACTAATGTCCTAGTCATTCACTGCAATAATCCAAAACTCAAGAGCCAGAGCCATCCTAAATCCTTAATGGAAAAGAAAATACATTTCAAACATCTAGAAGTGTGATGAAGTGAAGAAAAGGCCTGTGAGTCCAAAGCCTTCATCCTAAATATTGTGCAAGTTCTTATAGCTAACTTTTCTTAGATCCTCATTCACGAGATTTACTCTTACCATTACATAATTTCCTAATATGTTTCATTTTCTCCTTTCTAGCTCTTGTCAGATGAAAAATTCTTTTGAAGTGATGAGATCTACTAAAGGCAAAACACAAAATCCAGGACAAAAGGATGCCTCAGTAGCTCAATTCTTTTTAAGAAGGTAGATGATCACTTAAAAATTTGAAACAATTCTTACCCAAAATATTTAAAGTGTTAAGAAATTACTTGTATCCAAAGAACTGTGTTATGGATGTAAGATTCTGACCTGAGGGTATGGGACACACAAGGCAACAGGTCATGAGCTCTGAGGGACAGTGGCTGGTAAAACCTTAAGTTGCACACATAGAAGCTCCTGGTCTGATTTCTAAGTAGTTTCTGGTTCTCTCTGAGTTCAAGGTTTGACATGTGGGAAAAGTATTTTCCTAGGAACCACAAATCTTGCATTTATCCCATTTATCTAATCTCTCCACTGGTAGGCCAAGAGGCAAGGTGGGGGCCCTCCACTGGCATTGCTACTGAGCCCCATTTCTCCACTGCCTTCTCTAGCTGCTCCTTGATTTGATACCCAAGAGATCCTGGCTTACCTGAAGAGAGGCTGGCATTGACTTTCCATTTTTCTTAGCGATGTGCTTAATGATCTTCATTGCTTGCCTGGTTTTGTTCTGGGAGATCAACCACCTTGGAGACTCAGGGATGCACCTGCAGCAGAGCATTAATAAGGAGAAAAATCTTTCTGAAACTCTTTAACCCTCACACATTCATGATAGGATGTCTGTGAGGATCATGCACAGTGAGGTTCAGTTAGATCAGCAAAGGGGATAAAGAGTGTGTCAGATACTCGCAGTGTCCTCCTTCTTCAAATACTGACTTTACTGGGCCTTGTCCAAGAAGCCCACAGGCTCCCTCGGCAGAGATATCTAGAGGGAGCAAGCTGTAAAACTGGGTATAGCTGATTCTCCAGCTGTGTGGAAGGAGGAGCAGCAGGACTGCCATGTGGGCTTCAGGCTTTACAAGGGTGGAAGGGGTCTCAGCATGGAGGTGAGGGCATTTAAACAATCAAGGAGGAAAGCAAGTATATATCAAGTGTGATCAAAAAGTGTGCCCATGAGTTTTTTTTGTGTTTTTTTTTTTGAGACAGGATCTTGCTATATAGTTCAGGCTGGCCTTGATCTCACTATGTAGACCAGGCTGGCCTCAAACTCACAGCAAAGTAATCCTCCTGCCTCAGCCTCCGAAGTGCAGGGATTACAGGCCATGTGCCACCAAGCCAGCAATACACTTTTAAATTTAAGCATTTATGGTATATTTTGATCACACCTAATATATATACATATTATGCTGAAATCTAATTTCCCAAAGAAAGAGGTAAAAATTTGAGGTCAGATAGTTGTGGGACATAAAATCCAGACAGCACCATTTGAGCTAGAATCTGCCAGTGATCAGGGAGCTCTTGCTGAGAGGTGGGCTCAGCAGGACCCAGGTAGGTGTTTCTATGGAGTAAGATGGGGAGATAGCCAGGAAAACTGCTTGATTAAGACTCAGGGTATGACCAGGAGCATACTGTACTTGACTGCAGCCAACACTTGACTCACACTGTGACACTGTAGGGCCATTTTCCCAGATGACACTTGATGCCCATGAGCAGCTCCACTGTCTGCCCTTTTGGAAGCACAGGGTCAGCTTGGCCAACTGATCCTGGGCTAGTGCTGGGGCAGCTAAGGAGGTGGACACTTGGGAACAGAGTCTGGGTAGGTCATAATCCAACCAGCCTACAGGCAGGAAGTCAGGATTGACTTTGAGCTAACACATGTCACTAAAGAAATGTTTATCCTTTTGGACAGGGAAGTGGCACGTTACTGGCCCCATCTCTGTGGACCTCTCCATTGGCAGGTGAGGCCTGCACCTATGCTCCACTCGCTCCTTTCAGACAAGGAAGCAGTGAGGGTGCATGCAAGTGGCACGGGAGTGGCCCCATCTCTGTGGACCTCTCTATTGGTGGGTGAGGCCTGCACCTATGCTCCATCTGCTCCTTTCAGACAGGGAAGTGGCATGGGAGGGGCCCAGGCTCTGTGGACCTCTTGGTTGAGAGATGAGGCCTACCTTCCCTTGACCAGCTGCCTGAGGAACCCAGAGCAGCAGCCCCTGTCTGGCTACCATTAGGTTCATGGCTGAGGCCCACATGATTTCCATCGATGGCTTGAGTCCCTGGTACTGAAGGCCACCACTCCCCCACCATCGCAGTTGTGGTCTGAGCCATGCACCCACAAATTGCCTGGGGATCCTGGGCCCAATGGTCCACCGCCTTCTACTATCTTGGGATAAGTCTGATGCCCAGGTAAACTAGGGTCCCTAGAGGCCTTCAGTGAGCTCCCTAGGTAGCGTGTGGCTCAGCACTTTCCATCTGACATCCAAAATGACAAGACATAGGAGCAAAATGCAGTCTCAGAACTCAACTCCACCCAGAAAAGTAAAGGAGACACCAACATAGGAGAACTTGGAAGTCACATACCTGGAATCTCTAAAATGATTGCAACTGAAGTAAGGAAACAACTTCATCAGGTCATAGAAGAAATCAGATCAGAAATAATTGCCCAGGTAAAAAAAGAAATGACATTAATAATGAAAGAACTTCTCAGCACATCTAAAGAAGACATATATTAAAAAAGTAGATGAGCATCAGAAAAAGATGGAAACGTTAATGAGAAATACAGGACAGAACTAGAATGCATGAAACAGATTCAAAGATATATCCAGGAAAGCAAAGCTTCCATTGAAAGCTGGAAAAACCACTTGAATGAAGCTGAAAGTAGAATCTCAGATATTGAAGACAGCATGGCAGCTAATGATTGTGAAAGGAAGGATCTCTTAAAATGAACAAGGAACCAGGAAAAATCAATTCAACAGCTGCAAGATGAGGCAAAGAGGAAAAATGTAAGACTAATAGGAGTCAAAGAAACGGCAGGAGGCAATACAAATGACATAAAAAGAATATATGCAGAAATAATAGCAGAAAATTTCCCAATCATGGAAAAATATTCTAATATACAGGTAAATGAGGCATATAGAACCCCAACTAGCCATAACCAGATAAAACCACACCCAGACATGTAATAAGCAAGATCCCAGATATCCAGCAAAAGAACAGAGTATTAAAAGCTGCTAGAGAAAAGAAACAGATTGCCTATAAAGAAAAGCCCATCAGAATCCCAGCAGATTTCTCAACACAAAACATCCTATTGAGAAAAGCTTGGAGCAAAGTATTACAGGTCCTGAGACAAAACAGCATCCAACCAAGATTGATGTATCCTGCCAAACTATCTTTCAAATTTAACAGAGAAAGAACAACTGAAGAACTTCATGAGTGCCAAACCATCCTTACAAAGAGTACTAAAAGATATTGTAGACAGAGAAAAAAGTGACCACAATCTCAAGAGCAACAATAGAAAGGAACCTTCAAGCACAGCAAGCAATTAAACAGATAGCAAAAGTAGGAAACCAACAGCAAGCAAATAACATGACAAAGATAAGCCAACATATATCAGTTATAATCGTTAATGTAGATGACCTCAATTCACCAGTCAAAAGAAACAGACTGGCAGAGTGGATTAAGAAACAAAATCCGAAGATATACTGTATACAGGAAACATACTTTACTCAAAAGGAAATCCATAGACTGAAACCCAAAGGATGGAAAATTATTCTCCATGCAACAGGATCCGAGAAGAAAGCAGGGCTAGCTACTATGTTTGCAGACAACATAAACTTTAAACTGAAAACAATCAAAAGAGATAAAGAAGGTCACTACATCCTTGTTAGGGAAAAACTGCAAGAGGAAGAGATAACAATCATAAACATGTATGCACCAAAAATGGGAGCACCAAACTATATAAGACAAAACTTAACAGACATGAAAAACCAAATAATTACTAACACTATTGTAAGAGGGGACCTCAACACCCCTTTGACACAAAGAGACAGGTCAACTAGACAAAAAATCAGCAAAGAAATAACAGACCTGAACCAAATCTGTGAACAAATGGACTTAGTATATGGACTATACATAGTAGATGTATACAAAGTGTTCCACCCTACAACATCAGAATACGCATTTTTTTCAGCTGCACATGGGACTTTCTCTAAAATAGACCACATCTTAGCCCATAGAGCATACCTTCCAAAATGCAAAAGAATTGAAATTGCCCATGCATATTATCTGACCACAGTGCAATGAAATTGGAAATTAATGACAAAAGGAACACCAAAAACTCCATAAACACTTGGAAAGTAAACAACAACCTCCTGAACAACCAATGGGTCATGGAAGAAATTAAAGAAGAAATTAAAAAATATGTACAAACAAATGAAAATGTAAATACACCTTTCCAAAATCTGTGGGATGCAATGAAAGCAGTTCTCAGAGGGAAATTTAGAGCAATGAACTCACACATAGGGAAAACAGAGAGAGAACAAATAAATAGCCTACTGCTGCACTTCAAACTTTTAGAAAAAGAAGAACAAGTCAAGCCCAAAGCCCAAAGAAGGGAGGAGATTATAAAGAT